CTTGTGACTACTGATGTGCATTTGATGATCGCATATTGCTGCTTGGTCAGGAAAATTTCAAAGTGCGAGCACACAGATCCATAAAGTTTCAAACTATTTTGATATCCATGTTCAGCAGTGATATGGGACGCCAATTTGCGACTGTGCATGTCAAATCTCTTAGATATTAGTGGAATGATAAATGTTTTCCTGCAATTCGGTAATTTTTCAGGTGTTGAAAGTTCTTGAGGGCGATGGGAAAAAAACTGGCGATGTTTTGGGCTGTATTTTAATTTTTTTTTTGAGGTAAACCATTCAGTTCTCGCGATTGGTTGGACAGAGAGAGAGGTGGAAGTATTGGTGGAAGTTTTGAAGCCGGTGCTATGTTGTCTTACGCGTTTGTGAACATCAATTTTAAATAGCAGTATGGTAGAGAACACATGGCAGTATGGTAGTGATGATCCCTTTTGGTGAATACTTTTGACGATGATGCATTTTTTTTGATGCTTTTCAAAGTTTTGTTTATTGAGTCATTGTTTAGTAAGTTTTGATAATTCAGACGATCGTTTTCACTCGACTGGCTGACTATGTTCTATGTTTTCCAGTAGTGCAACCATGCATTCGTGTTAACTTGCCGTCTTGATGCTAAGTGACTGCTCTTGCGTGTGAAGTTTCTTCATTAAACGTGCTGTGCTTTGAGTTATCCATGGCTGTAACCACTGTCGATATGCTGTTTTTAAGGAACATGGAAATCAACGCTCTCCTTGAAGTAGTCATACAATTCTTCTTGGCACCTTCATTCTATGATTGTATTGCAGGTTGGATCGAAGGTCGGATCAAAATTTTTTTTCAAGATAACACTATTGATTCCTTCAAATGGGCTTTATCATAGCTACGTTTTTGCTTCGTTGTGCTCTATTTCCAAAGCATAATTGACAGATCGGTGGTCGGATTTTTCTTAATTTTTATCTTGAACTTCATATTTTTGCTCATGCACGTTGCAATTCTCGGGAAAGGCCACTTCAAACAGTTTTTCACAGTTCGGGTCAAGTTTGTCGCATCTCCATAAAAATTTTCAATGATGCGTTGACACATATTTCATGCTCCTGAATTGTACTCGCCAGGGGATCCAATTTTGTTTAAGGGAGTTTACCGCAGATGTTAAGGGATGACGCATTGGAAAATTTCCCGTATAGTACAAAAGTCATCAAAGAGTACCTGTAAGGACTGAATTTGGTGGGATTATAGTAAGTAATTCTTTCTGCAATGCGAGAGACTCCATGGCGGTGTGTGTAACTTTTTATGTTCGGTGTGTGTTGGATTTGCGCATGCACGTTGCAATTCTCGGGACAGGCCACTTCAAATAATTTTTCACAGTTCGGGAAGTTTATCGCATGTCCTTAAAAGTTTTCAATGATGGCGTTGACACATATTTGATGCTCCTGAATTGTACTCGTCAGAGGGATCCCATTTTATTTAAGGGAGTTTACCGCAGATGTTAAGGGATGACGCATTGGAAAATTTCCCGTATAGTACAAAAGTCATCAAAGAGTACCTGTAAGGACTGAATTTGGTGGGATTATAGTAAGTAATTCTTTCTGCAATGCGAGAGACTCCATGGCGGTGTGTGTATTTTTAATTTCATTATCCGACCAGTATAAAATGGATTAATTCGATGATTCATTTTTCGGAGAGTTTATTTCGACTATTTTAAAAACTTCTCGCGTTTTGTTAGAGAGCATATAAAAAATCCTTAATTACGAAGATTTTTCATTGATTTCTACCTTAACGTTGTGATTGTACAGCTACAACAGTTTTTTTGAAGCTTTTCTTTTTTGTTACGCCATCAGTCAGGAAATCACATCACTTCTTATATCAAATCACATCAAATCACATTATATATTTTTTGGGTTTTCCTTGGTCAAATCTGACTTCTTTCTTCAATAATTTTTGAGAGGATTACTCTCGCCTCATGATGATTTAGCGTTTTGAATATGGTCCAGTTTTCGTCAAGCTTTTCCGAGCGTTTGGTTTCCACGATCGAGAACAATAGTTACTTCTTCACTTGTTGGTACAAACTCTCAGCTTTTGGAAACCCTTGCATAGCGAAGCCTTAATTGCTTTTATGAGTGATTTTGAATCAATGATTTTTTTCCGCTTGCATTTTGCCGAACAGCTATTTTTTTGTTCTTAATCAGAAAAAAACTGTATGTCTTTTCAGCTTTTTCACAATTCTTTTCGAGCGCGTCATCATTATCATTGCCAATTAATTCTATCATCGTGGTTTCCAGGCTTAACAAGTTTTAGTCTCAAACAAAGTTGTTCAATTTTTGACCAGTTTGTTTTGCATGTAGTTTCATATGAAACCATCACAAACGTTGTTTCCATGACCTTGTGGTGGAAGCAGCATTGCTAATCACCCAATATTCTCGAGGGCCAACGTCTGCAGCTGGCGCTAAGCTTGTTTTGTCATTAGGAAGACCCATGATGGATC